GAAAGTGACCTGAGATGACATGATGTGAATTGGAGCTATAGAAATAAACTGAATAGAATTGAGGCCACCCGTCTAAGAACGATCCTTTCCTTTTTGCAGTAACATTCCTCTGAGTCTTGATTCTTTTCAGACTCTAGCAAAACGTAGAACATGCTTACTAGTGGATTAGTTCACTGGCTGGACCTACAGTCGGCGTTGGATCATCTATAATCTTTTTTTTTATATATTGAACTTTATTGATCTCAAATTTCTATGCATTTAACCCTTAGGGAGCAGTGGGCTGCCATTGTGCGGCGCTCAGGGAGCCAGTGTGGAGGATGTGGGGATCCAACCGGGGGTACTTGCAACCTTCTCAGAGCACAGGTGTACTGCTCTACCCACTAGGCCAACAGTGGTTCTACCAATCCCTTTCCTTCATTTACAACATTTATCTGTTAAAGAAAATCCAATGAAGTTTTAGGATGAAAAATGAGGAAAGTTTAGAGGACGGGGTCCCAAAGTCCCAGGAGGAGGTTGCAAAACATCAAGCGGATTATTTACAGGATACATTAATCAAATATTAAACAATGGCATTTTAAAATGCACAATAAAATAAAATATATTTCTTCATAAATATTTGGTGCAATACCTCTAATCATCTGTTATTTTGGAAACTCCTGGTTTAGAGAAGAAGACATGAAAGCAGAGATGAGGACGGATCCAAAGCTGCGACTTCATTCACTCTTTTATTGCACAGAGAAATCATTTCCACATTTTACAGACAGCTTTTCACAACACAAAGCTTTCAAGCTATTTGTTCACAATTAGATAAATTATCCACAGATTAAGAATCGGGTGACACACGGAGTTACCTACGGGTTAAACAGCAGGAATGTGTTTAAAGCCTCTTTTTCCTGCTCCAGTTTCCTGCTGCTGTCGCTGCAGAAGCAGAAACAACCTCCTGCTTCTCCTCTGAGCCTTTCTGGACTCTGTCTGCTCAACCAAATGAGAGGAAACATCTGGTCACAGCAGAAGCCTTTACCTGAAAGAGCTCAGCAGGGCTTGGAGGAGGTTTCAAAGCTGCAGCGTCAGCAGAGTAGACGCCGGGTCCAACCCCGCCGGGGGTGGGGGGGACGCGGCCTTCTGGGTCCACACACACAATAAACTGCTTCACGTTAATAAATAACAACAGATGGCTTCATGCGTCTTAGCTTATGGTTTGGGATCAAAGAGGTATGAAGCAGCTGGAAATGGAGCTCCACCCATCAGAGGTGTGGGTCTGGTTTAAAACCAGCAGGCCTCCCAGTGATTGGTGGATTCATACTGGTACTGGCAGCAGCAGTGGTGACAATGAGAGGCTAAGTTAATGTTTTAAAGCTAAATAAATGCTGAATTCTTGATTTTTTTTAGTATCTTATGCTGCGTCTCCATCGCAAACCGGAGGGATTTAGACGCATCAACTAATAATTATTTCTTTCTCCCCGTTTCAGGCCTTTAAACACAAAACAAACACCTTTTTCATGGGTTCAGTCGTAACAAACAATTAGAAGTGCTAAGAGATATAGTTTATACCTGCAGCTTGTTCGGCAGCCATATTGGACAGGGAACCCAGAATTTCTCCCAGCTGGAAATCCTGCCTGGAGGGGGCGCTGTTGTTGTTTTTTCTGACTGTTATCTCATCTTCTGCTACATGATCAGTTAGCTTCTGTTCCTGAAATGCCTGCAGATTTCTGCTCCAGTGTCCAGCTGCATTTAGAGCGAACAGTTTCCTACGTCTGTCCTCATTTTTAGCTGTCAGTGGAACACGGCGGCTCTTAAAGGATTATTTCACAGTTTCTGTCTCTTAGATGCCACATCATCACCAAACCCCGCTTTGTTCATTAAATTGATTCTAGTTATATAAGTATTTTTTTCTTAAACAAATCAAATCTGGAAACTAAAGGCGTCGGAGCCCTACTGGTTCACTCCCCTTGCAGGTTACTGATGACATCACAGAATCTCTGTTTAAAAACAGGAAGTAGTCCTTTAAAGGAGCAGCGTTCACTGACCGGAGAAGACGAAGCAGCAGATTTCTCTGTGCTTCTGAAGGTTTCACCTTCCAGACATGAACTGACTCTTCATAGGAGCAGACTGAGCGTTGCAGGAAGGGCGGTGATACCCCCCCCTGCTGTGATGATGCTTAGTGTTAACCTGGGACAACTTCCAGGAACAAGCTGCTTTTTAAATAACATTCACATTCAATCGTTCCAGTTGATTAGTGATGCCAGATACCGGTAGAGGCGTGTCAGCCTGCGGGCCTGACACAAATACATACGTTGAATATTGATGTCCAGTGGCGTACGCTGATCGTGCAACACCTCAGGCTGATTGAATGTGTGATAAATACATATAAAAATAAAAAATAAAAGCTTTGCAGCATTTCCCTTACACTCGATTGGTTAGTTTGGTTAAGATCCGGTTTTTGCAGGACGGACTGGATCAGAACGGCCTGTAGTTCCAGAAACTGGAGAAGACGGAGATCTGCAGGAAGGAGAGGAAACTAGCTTCAACTGTCAAGTAAAAACAGCAACATTTACCAAAACTCTTCAAAAGATCAAAAAGCAGTAAAGGAAAAAAACGGAATGAATGTAAAACCAAAATGCTG